AGACCTAGGAACCCCAGCCTGGGCCATCCTCAACCCTTCCACTACTCTAGCTCTGGGAACTTCCACTCAAGGCTCATGATAACTCAGTTCGGCCACTGTCGTGGAGGCACTCAGGAAACCAGACAGGGACCCGCCCCTCCAGTGGCATCACTGTCGAGAAACCCCCAGTGAGGTCTGGACAGGTGGCCCTGCATCCCTCCCAACCTTCCAGAGGGGGCAAAAGCCTAACTTTTAGAATCATGATAGAACCTTACACGGTACATGATATCAACTAAGTCAGTTATAAAACCCCAGTCATGGTTCTCATTTCCCCAAAACCGGGAAATAAAAATTCTTAATCATCATGACCAAGAAGGCCAAGAACCCATTTCCCCAGCCCTGTTTTAGACACAGTTGCCTGGTCTCCCCTCCAGAGTCCACAGTGGTAAAGCCAGGGGGAGGGCTGCAAAGGTGTTGAGGGTTTGCCCAGATTTGCTACATTTCTACAGTCAACGGCGCCTGGGGTGGGGGGTGAAGGGCGATTCCCCCCTTTTGCCTTTCCTGTCCTCACATCATTGCTGCAGAGGGGCTGACCTCTGCAGATTCCTGGACATTTTGGGAGAGTTAAGCTGGTTTATTTTTGGACTCAGAGGATCACAGAATGAGAACCAAAGTGACTTTGGAGGTGGTCCAGGGTGACCATTTCCTTAATGAGCAGAATGAGAAATGGGGGGCCCACTGCACTCTCTGTAGGGTTTCTGTGATCTGTGGCGATTGTGTGTCTCTTCACAAATACATCTGTTTAGGCTCTTAGGCTCAGCATCCTCTGTCAAGTGGTGTAGGGGCCTCTCTGTTAATTTAGCTTGCACGGCCCACGTTCCAGACCCTGACAAGCACCATTTGCTCATGATGAGATTCTCCCTTTGATGTGGTTACCTGACGAGGTCTTTTCTTGGTGCTAGACTCTCTTGAGTCTTTTCTGTTTGATGTTTTGCATGGAAAAGGCTGTGAAGATGTTCACTGAGGTAGTTGGAGCAGCTCGATGGGGTGCAAAGAGCAGGGACTTTGAAGCTAACAACAACAACAACTGCTCTCAACCGAACGCTTAACTCATTCCTGGTTCTTTGCTAAGCACCCCACAACCGCATCATCTCATCTCGTGTTAGCACACCGAAAGCAGCCCTTAGGAGACCGGCGCCGCTCGCATCTGCCTGCACGCACGAGCACGCAGGTGCACAGCCTGTTGCAGGTTATGTAAACACAAGGTGATGGAGCCAGTGCTGGAATCATGGACGGCTCAGACTCAGGCTCCTGTGTGCCACGCCGGCTTAGGTTCAAACCCCCAGGTGGCTAAAATCTACAATCAAATAGTTTTTGACGGCTTATTGTGGCCAGGACACTTCATAACGGTGTGTTCTTGGTGAAGAAAATTAAAAGTAGCTCTGATTGTTTACCGTGTGAGTATTTTGCCTGGATATTTTGAGGGTCAGGCATGAATGCAGTGCCTGCCAGAATGGGCATTCAATAAACCATAGCTGCTACCTGGGGAAATAACTGCGGCAACCTTACGTGTCTTCTGGCATTGGTGTAGATTTGGTTTAATTACCTCAGACTGTTGGTTAAGGAGCCCTAAAGCCCACTGAGCCCTCCGGCCTCTCAGGGCAGATGAGCGAATACACGATCTCTGAACGTGTCATCACCATCAGTCAGTAACAGAAAGCCACCTGTGCTTTCTTAGGAGATTATGTGCAGTACAGGGGAAAAAAAATCCAGAATCGTGTATTTAATTGCTGGGGTTTTTAATTAGGCAGGTGATATCAGGGTTAATGAATCATTAACACATAAAAAAGCAATTAGCTCATTGTTTCCATAATTTTATGCAATCAAGCAGAAAGCTGTTTCTTAGGGTAGTTGTACCTTAATAGAATTTTGCAGATAATAATTTCTGTTGTTTTGTTTTTAAACTAGGTCAGTAGTTGTTGGTATTCACGGCTTTGATTTTTTGCCATCAGTATGCAGGTGTGTATAATCTTATATATAGTATGACATTGCTGTAGGCATGCATTACCACCCTGCTCAATGACCTCACTTTTTCTGGGATTCTTCCTGGAGTATCAGAGCTGTTTATCACTTGTCATGACAGCATTTATTCATTCATATTCACAACGTTCTTCTCAAACTCCTCCTATGGACCACTCATTGTTCAGGCTCTGGGGATCCTTTGTCGAACATGACAGTCAAGATCTCTGCTTCTCAGGAGGCTTACATTCCAATAAGGAGGAGTCAATAATAAGTAAATAAACACAAGCATATTAGACGGTATTAAATGCTAGATGGAAATAAATCAAGGGTGTGATTGGTCAGGGAGCACCTCTCGGAGGAGTTGCTTTTAAATGGACTTCTAAAAGCAGGAAAGAGCAAGGTGTGCAAAGACATGGGAGAACATTCCAGGCTCAAGGTCTTGCGCAGGAACAAGCTTGATGTTTGAGAGCTGCAGGAATACATCCAGGGCTGTGGTGTGGGGAGGAAGGGAGGAGCGGGGATTTTAGTGGACGTGTGGCTATCTCCACTGCGTGGGCGCTGAAGCAGAGGGTGACCATTCTGACTGCTGTTCACAAGGGAGGCTCTGCTCCCCGTGGAGAAGGGACTGTGGGGGTGGGAGGACGAGCCCCAGAGAGATGGGCCGCCTGACCTGCATGGCAGCGGTGGATGGGTCCAGGATACGGCTCTGAGGTGGAACTGAGAGATGCGCTAATGGGTTAGTTGAGGGGTGTAGGGGAGGAAAGGACTCACCAGTGTCTCCCAGATTCTGTGGTTGAACAGATGGGTCTGTGGTGGTGCCACTTCCAGAGATGGGGACGTGTGGGGGTAGCCAGCCGGCTGTGGGTAAGATCAGCAATTCTGTTTGAGCCTTAGTGAGATTGAGATGCCACATGCTCTGTCCGTCTCTCTCCAGTCCCTCCCCTCCCCTCCTCTGTCTCTCTGCGTCTGTGTCTCAGCATGTGTTGTAATTGGATTGAGTATTTATCACTATGTAGCAGGTGTGATATTGTGTCTTTTACCGCCCCCACCCCCAAGGTGTATCGTCCCTGCTGCCAACATGAATAGTTCGCAGCTCAGAGGTGAAATCGGCCCCGCAGAGTGGCACGGACTGTGAGCGGCAGGTGTGGGATGGGAGCCCTGGTGGGTCCAAGTCCACGGCCTGTGCTCTCCCACCCAGCGGGCTGCCTCCCAATTCGCTGTGCTCTGTCCCGGCCTCACAGGCAGCTCCGCCTTCTGACTGAGGGCCTTGCAGCCTGCGGCAAGATGCTGAACCGGCTCAGTCCTTCTGACCTTCTCCACCCCGCCCCGCGTGCTTGCTGGCTCGTCGTCGTCTTCTGAAGACCCAGATGAGGAGATTTTCCTTCTCCTCTTTTACAAAAACCCGTGCTGGGGAGAGCACGAGATGCCAAAACTTTGTCGCCACTGTTAATGGTATGTGCGGCTTCCTCATACCTCTCACGGTGAACCCAGGGGACACCGGTCGGTGTTATTCTTGGCAAAGGAACTGTGTAGGTGACCTTCACTCACTTGGGGTAATTCGGTAGAGCTGTGCCTACGTTGCAGGTTTGGGTTCAGGAGCTGGGCGATGAGGGAGGGGCGCCCTTGTCAGACCTGAGCCCCAAGCCCGCAGCAAACGCTCCAGTACCGAGTGACTCTGCTCAGTCGGGCCTGGGTCAGAAGGGAGAAGGGGTCACACATGGCCGGAGATGGGGAAGGGAGGGTCAGCAGCACACGTGTGTGGATGCAGCAGCCAGGTGGGGGTAGCCCCTGGATGCTGGGGTGGGGGTAGCCAGGATGCCAGGATGCCAGGTGGGGGTAGCCCCTGGGGGCGGGGCTCCAGGTGAGGCCTCCTGGTGGACTCGGTGGGAGGTCGGTGGGCTCAGGGCATCTCCGCCAGGAGCTCACAGTGCACCGGGGAGGGGGGCAGCCTGCAGGGACGGCAGCATGTGGTGTGGGGGGCGCCCAGAGGGCTCTAATCTGGCAGGAGCCTGAGCAAAGGCGCTGTGCCGCCGGGTCCTGCGTGGAGGCTGGCAGAATGCGGAGTGGCGGAATGAGGCAGGCGGGGTAGACTGGGCTCGGGGAGAGGGAGTGTGGAGGCCTTGTGTGTCAGGTGGGGCACTTGGGCCACAGAGGTCTGGAGGGTGAACCGGCCGCAAGCTCTCCAGCCTGGTGGGCTGGGGGACGGGGAAGGGACACAGCTGGGAAGCGACTTTCAGGGGGTCACGATGGAGAAGCCTCGAGGCAGCTCTGGGACTGTGTGGGGCCATGGCCTTGATCCTCCCCCAGTGTGTCAACAGCGCAGTCCCCCTTTCTGCACTCTCTTAAATGTTAAGACCCTGGGGAAGAGAGATTTTGCTTGCCCGCGGCAGGGCTCAGAGATCCTTTTCCTCCGTGTGTCTAGGCCACAAGGGGGGTGAGGTGGGAGCTGAAAGAGGCCCCAGGGGTGGCTCAGCCCCTCAGGTTGGATTCACAGGAAAGAGAAGAGAAGGGTCAGGGAATAAGGGGAGGTGTTCTCACCTGCTTGCAGGACATTCTAGCCGAACCCCATGACCTGACTAGAAGCCACCACCGTTCTTGGGGCGCACAGTTCGGCCGAGCCGCGTGCCTGGGGAGCCATCACGGATGCCTGCCTGTCGGGTGGGCTGCTGGTGCGTCCTGAGCACTGCTGCACAGCGTGTCTCTCCGGACCCTCCGTGATGGCTCTAGCCTGCTCCGCACCTGCTCACCTGGCCCTTTACCCCAACTGGAATACGCAGCTCTCGACCCCGAGCCCCAGTCACCTGGCGGGAGTCCTGTCCCCCTCCCAGGGAGGAATCCGGCTTGCACAGAGCCCTTCTTGGGGCCGCCCCATGTGTCTGTTAGCCAGGCCCGCCCCCACCTTTACTTAGGTTTCGGGGCAGTGCTCTGCGGGCTGTTGGTATTTAACAGGTGTTTGTCAGTTTGAACTGAATTCTGACGCTTGCTTTTCCTCTTTTCAGATCAAACCGGTGGTACATTGTGATATGAATGTGCCTTCCAGGTGGCAAACATTTCACCGTACATCCCGGCATGTTAAGTGAGTAAGGTCTTGTGGGTGAGAAATCACGACGGCTGTGGCTCCTAAAAGATAGTGTTCCAGCTAGACAGACTCACCAGCTAGACAGATTCACCGTCACCCTCTTCCTCTCCCCCGCCCCCACCCCAGGACACCTGTATGATTCAGCCTTCCAGGTGCTACATATCCTTTCTTCTCTTGAACCTTGATTTTGGAAAAACAATCCAATCGCCTGCTGTCCAACAGTTCACATGGGGGTGGAAAGACAAGGGCTTCACACACAATTTAATCTTAGGCTCTTATTTATTTATTTTTAAAGCTAGCCGTTGCAGCTGGTGGGTGTTGAAAGGAAACTTACGGGTTATTTCCCCACCCTGAGCTCTTACTGGTCAAGACCCCCTGGGACGGCCGCAGGACGGGGATGGCAGGAGTCCCCATGCCCCCTGGAGCCACGGCGGATGCTAGGGGCCGAGGTCCCCGGGACAGTGTGTCCGGGATGAGACCACTCTCTGGGCCAGTCTGCTTAAGTTTGGGGTTGTAAAAAGCACACAGTTGACTCAAACCCATCATTGGCTCAAATCCCGCCTTTCACCTTACTGTCTCTGTGACTGGCACACACTCCGTGTCTCTGCACTGGGTCCTGGCTTGTAAAACAGGACTGATGATACACACCGGCGTGTGCTGAGGTCTCCCTGGCGACGGGTCCACGGGCCCGCCCAGCGCCGGTCACGGAGCAGGCACTCTTCAAATCTTTCTTGTCCTGGATGTTACAGCATTTTATGATTAGAACCTCTGATGTGGAGATGGAGAGAGTACCCTCCCTTTTGCCATGTTCTGCTCCCAGGGGACAGAATTTCAGTGAGTTTCTACAGAAGTGTGGGCTCTGCGTGTCTGAAAGGCGCTAGCGGGGACGTCGGGTCCTGGCCGTTGTCAGCATCTGCTGCATCCCTGACCCAGTGTCCTTCATGCATGTGCCAACCAGCGAAGGGCTGGGGGCCGTCAGGTGGAAAGCCCCTGCTGGACTCCTCAGAGCCCAGACTGGGAGGCAGAGGGATGCAGGAAACATGACCTGTTAGTAGCGAAACTTGGCCCCTTTCATGTCTCTTCAGAACCTTGACGATCATTTCCATAAAATACCCCTCCTTTCCGTTGTGCCTTCTGTAAATCTGAGAGCTGTTTTGAAGCGATGAGAGGCACGGTATTTCCAAATTATGTGAAAGACATCTCTTTCTGAAGAATGTATAGAAATCTCAGGGAACAGTATTGGCTTATGGATTCTTCCTGGCAAAGAAGCATATCCCTAAAGCTACATTTTTTTTTTTGACACGAGCCAAAACATGGGTGATTCTCACTTCCTTTGACGGACATTCTTTTTTTCTACTATGGACCATTTACCTTGCAGCATGTGCTCCATGCTTTAGATTGGTTTGCTAGAAATTCCACTAGATGGACCCAAATATCCATTCAAATGCAATGTCTTTTCTACAAAGACCTGATCATGTTTGCTTGGAGACCTTGTAAGTATAAAAACAAGCAAACAAAATAGCTGTTGCGGGTTCCAGGGTCTTCAATGTTCCAGGGAGAAAGGGGTTTCTCCTTCTCACAGATGGGGAGCTGGGGTGGCGGGGAGCCGGGCTGGTGGGGTGGTGGGGGGTGGCTTGTTTGAGCACGTGCCGGATTCGGAGAGAGAGCCCGGTGCTCCCCTGACTGTCTGGGCCTCCTCAGAATTGAGCTGGTCCAGACCACGTGCATTTGAAGTGTGGAGACTGAGGCTCGGATTTATGTCCTGCTTCTGCCACTAAGCGAAGCAGCATCACGTGAGACCCATTGGGTCACTGTCATCACCATCATCAGCCCCTGACTAAGGTCCATTCCTAAGTCCATGTGCTATTTCCTATTTTTAAAAAATTTAAAATATTTCCTATTTTAATAATTTAAAATATGTTCTATTTAAAGTATTTCCTATTAAACTTTAATGAGCACTGTAGGGGGGTGCATTGAGTAGTAGTTTTATGCCTTTAACTTCTCTTACTTCAAATTATTTTATTTTTATTTTTTTTATTCTTATGTTAATCCCCATACATTACATCATTAGTTTTAGATGAAGTGTTCCATGATTCATTGTTTGTGCATAAC